CAATCATTAATATGTTTGTTAAAAAAATAATGTATATTTTATAGTTCGTACGCATTTTTATTGACAACGCATGCGCGCGTGACCGCAGCGCATACTCAGTATCGCTACACTTCGTCGGTATGACAGGTTTCGTAACCTGAAAACTGGTCAACTTTAACGATTAATATCTCGCTTCGCGAGGCAGAGCGACACTTTTTCCAAATAGAAAAGTTTTATTTAACGCAAAAACGTATCGAATAAGCGTGGTTGGATCAAAATCGGAGTGGAGGTAGCGATACTGTATAATTACCTGGAATTTAACTGAATTTTTTGGTAATTCCAACAACAAATTTGTTTCGTCTATTTTTGAACAAACGTACCAGTAGAATCAATCAGAATTTCTTATAATACAATAAAATTTTTTCCAGTGTTGGTTTTCTAAATTACTGCACATACCTCTGCATAAACTGCAAGGTGGCATCAATGGATTTAGGATAGCGGAATCCAAAAACATAATAACATAGGAAGACCGTTAGGAATCCCTCCAAAATATTTGCCACTTTGATTTGAAATTCTTCTCGAATCACAACATCACACTTAGCGGCATAATCAAATAAGGATTGACTTGCAGGAGGAATGCAAGAGGAATGCAGAGGAATGCAGAACAATTAATAAAAGTGGACAAAATTATGTATGTAAAAACACTATCACTCTTTACCTCTTATAATCATGATACAGCCCATGCAGTATTCTTGGGCAGCCTCCAAGACCTCGTTTTCAGAGCATATCTTCTGCAAAATATAAAGTAACTATCAAAAAATGTTTTTCAATATATTAATCATGCTCAAAAATTATTTTAAGTAAAGTTGCTAAATAAAATTTTAAGAGTTTACGTACATTCAATAGAACAAACAGATCAGTGGACTTCTCTTTTATGTACATTACGAGAAGAGGAACTACTGCTTTTGCACTTGGTTCATTGGAACGCTCAGTTTGTGCTGCAATATTCATTTCTTCTAACAAATTCTGCATTTGCATATACTGAGAGCCTTTTGATGGTTTTTTTTCTCATCAGCGCAGTACGAGGCCATGAATTCTACAAAGAAATTGGCGCCTTCAAGTGCCTTAAACCATACTGAATGTACATTTTTTCCAAGGAGCAGCGAAGCATGCTCATAAACAAATAAGGTAGTGAGCATAACTGGCCATGAAGTAAAAAATCAGTCCACTGTTCCTTGGTCTTTGTTCTATTAATGGAGTGTCTCTGTAAAGCGTAGATATCACGGAGTAGAGTCTTGACTTGCTCTGCCATTTTATCAATGATGTAATGCTCCATAATAGTTTTCTTCTTCTCTTCTTGACTAATAGGATTCTCTATTTCAGGCTCCCACATGCCTTGCGCATACCCATACTCATCAAAGAGCATGAGAGGATCGTCAACAGTAGCATCATCTCTCACAAGTTTTCTTCTATTGGCTGCTGCCTGTTTTTTTTTGTCCTTCTCAGTGTTATCCTTCTTGTAATTAATCATGTTATATACTGATTTGACAAAAGCATTAAAATTGTCTCCAGCAACATTTCCTCCCATGCACACTTGAAAGGCGTATTCATTCACCTTGTCACGAATAGAGCAGTAATATCGTCGAATAATCCCAGTGTCGATTTGCTTATTATTATAGCGTGTTGCCAATAATTTACAAACAGCCAACTTTGATTTAGCTAGCTGCTTGATCTTCTTTGCTTTATCATCACATTTGAGGGCATCATCGATCATGGTGGCAAGCCTTGTGATAGGAGGCTGGACTCTCTGAGACATATCTAGACTGAGTTCTGAACAGTTAAAGTAATGCAGTGATAAGCAAGG